ACACGGGCTTGGGCAGGAAGCGCAGGGCGGCGGCCGGCAGCTCCAGGAAGTTGAAGTACTGCGTGTTGTGGTCGTCCACGGTGGACAGGTCGAGCAGGGCGGGCTGGAAGCGCCGGGAGCCCAGGTTGGGCAGCATGACGGACGCGTTGCCGTGGAAGAAGATGAACTCCTCGGCCTCGTTGGAGTAGCAGAGCCACTTGAAGCGGCAGATGCGGTCGGTGTGCGTGCGCCCCGTGCACACCATGTGGGTGCCGCCCTCCATCAGGCTCTGCAGGGCCTTCGGGTAGTCGATCCTCAGGGCCGAGGCCGCCTCGGGGGCCTGGCGGCCAAGGGCCAGCTCCTCCTCCAAAGCCGCCGCGTGCTCCCGCAGACGCACGTGCTTCCACAGCACCGCCGCCAGCACGGACACCAGCAGGGCGTTGAGCACGGCCGAGAGCTGCATCCTCTCGCTGCCACCTGGGGCCCTGGTAAGTGCCACAGGCCTGACGGGCTTACCCCATCCCTGCGGGCACCCTGAGCACCGGCTGGCAATGGCCTGTAGGAAGAAGGAAAAGAAACAGCTGTTGGCACAGTCTGTCTGCTGTCGCCTCAAGTGCCTGCTGTGTGCCGGGCACTGGGCTCGGCTCTGTGTCCCCACTACTGTACCCGCAACGGCAGGGGGTCTGTGCACCATTAGGCACAATGGCAGTACAGTAGGTTAGACTGTTATTCAAAAGTACTTACTCCTGCCCGGCCAGCGTGGCTCAGTGGTTGAGCATCCACCTGTGAACCAGGAGGTCACGATTCGATTCCTGGTCAGGGCATGTACCCAGGTTACGGGCTCGATCCCCAGTGTGGGGCGTGCAGGAGGCAGCCTATCAATGATTTTCGCTCTCTCCCTATCTCTGAAATCAATAATTTAAAAAACAAGTACTCCCCACCCCCATTGCTTCCAGGGTGCAGTACACATATCTATACCTTGACTTTGGGTTTGGCCACATAACTTGCTTTGACCAAAAAGGAAACAATAAAGAATCAAATAAATCACTACTACAAATGACGGAATTCGGGAGAGTGGCTGAGTCATGAATTGATATTCAGAAAAAATAACATAAAGAAAGCCCTCCCTGAGGGGGGAGAGGCGGACGTGTGCGCGTAAGCCGACCCATGTTTTGCTCTGATCACAGACAAGAACGGCTTCCAGCAGAAACCAAAGCTAAAACGAGCTCACCCCGGGAATGTAAGAGAGCGAGACGCCCCGGGAATGAGGAGAGGGCGAGGGAAGGCCCACCTCCAACCCGATGGGCATCTCAGCCCCGGTACTCCCATCCCTAGTGAGCATTCTGCTACCTGCCCTCTCCCAGGTGTCCCTGCGGCGAAGGCAAGCTTGGCCAGTGGGGATGTGGGAGTGGTGACAGTGGGGATGTGGGAGTGGTGACGGTTTTCTCTTAGGCCTGGGGGCCGTGTGAGCAGTAGCCAATCCACTGAGCTCAGGCCCTGGGGCAAAGCTTATAGGGACCAGGCAACAGGGGAGTGAAGGCCTTGTGGGGCAAACAGGCAACTAGACAGGAACTAGTCTTGCAGATGTGCTGGGGTGGGGACGGGGGTGGGGGGAGGAGAGGACCGTTTATAATTAGATGCTAAGTCCTCCGCCACCCACCCCTAAGCCATGCTGGAATGGTGTTGACAGAGGCAGGATGAATACAGAGTGGCCCACTGCGACCTTGACCTTTCCCGGGCACTTCAGGTTCTGTTACCCTTTGAAGGGGGAGCTTGGAAAGGAAGGTTTGCTGGGAATGGGCAGCACATTCTGCTATTGACTGCGGTGTTAAAGTGCCTGGGTTTCTAACTTGACCACTAAGCCAGGCCGCCTGCACCAATGTCAATGGGAACAAATGCAGACACCATCCTCCCCGGGTGGCAAAGCTTGGATCCCAGAGTCCTCTCAGGACCAAGCAGCTGCCCACAGTGGTGACAGGACTGCGCACACCCCTGTCCCCTTCCCTGTCTCGCTCCTCCACGCCCCCGTTCCTGTTTATTGGAAACCAGTGCAAGTTTCACACCTGAATCCTTTCAGGACAAAGCATGACAGAGTAAGACTATTTTTCAAAGGAAAGGGGAAAAAAATAAGGGACTAAATATATGCCCAAGAAAGCTCTGCCAGGCAGACAGGAGGAAGCTGCCAATTCATTCCCCCAAACTGCTTCGCTCAGCTCCTGGAGCAGCTAAATACCACCGACTGCCACGGATTCGGGGAACCCCCCTTCTAGGGTCCCAGCTGTTCCAAGGGGCACTGGAGGCAGGTGTCCATGATGCTGCCACACCTGCAGACACAGTAAGAGCTGGGCAACTGGGATGGGGATGCCACCTGACAGGGGGCTCACCATGTGAGGCCGGGCATCTGGCACGGGGTGCAGGCCCCACAACGGGGTGGGGTGCGTGCTGGCCAGCTCCAGGCACAGGCTCAGGCCATCCACAGGGGCCTTGGGGTCTGATAAGGAGTAAAAGCTGCAAGAAGTCTAGGCCGAGAGAGAAGGTACAAACTCACGCGCTTACTGGAACCAAGAGCCAAAGGGGAGCGTGAAGCCAGGGTGGGCTGTGTGACCCAGGGGCACGAGGGCCTGGCATTCGTCTGCTCGGGCGGCCACAGCAAAGGGCCACTGCCTGGGTGGCCTGACTCACAGACACGCCTTTTCTCAGTTCCGGAGGCTGCAAGTCTAAGATCAAGGTGCTGGCAGGTTTGGTTTCTCCTGAGGTGTCTGTCCTTGGCCTGAGGTGGACACCTTCTCTGCGTGCACAGAGGATGAGAGCTCTGGTATCTCTTCCTCTTCTCGTGAGGACACTGGCCCCATCCGATCAGGGCCCACTCATATGAGGCCCTATCTCCAAATCAGTCACCTGGGGAGTTCTGGGTTCATCAAATGAATCTGTGGGAACACAATTCAGTCCATAACACTACTCTGCTGGTCTTTCCAGGAAGCCAGAAATCCACTTACTAGTAAAATGTCAAATGTGCCCAGACGGTGTGGCTCAGTGGTTGAGCGTCAACCTGTGATCCAGGAGGTCACAGGTTCGATTCCTGGTCAGGGCACAGCCTGGGTTGCAGGCTTGATCTCCGGTAGGGGGCATGCAGGAGGCAGCGGTCAATGATTCTCTCTCATCGATGTTTCTATCTCCTTCTCCCTTCCTCCCTAAAATCAATAAAAATATATTTTTAAAAAAATGTCAGATGTGCTCACTTATAACTTATGGCAACTATTAAAGTTGAATGAAGATGATATGTAGGCCCGAGGGCTGGGCTGCTGGCCTCACCGAGTCCCCACCTGCAGGACAGCCAGCCCAGCGGCGGGCCACTGGTCACTCCTCCAGGAGCGGGTTTGGGGGCACCCGCCAGCCCCAGGGTGCAGAAGACCCAGCAGGGCCCAGGCCAAGACAGTGCCCACACGAGGTCCCACATAATTTTCTAACCCTTTTACTTCCAAGGGCTGTGCCTAATTCTCTTTGAAAAGTGTTTTTGCCCTCGATACAGCCTGAATTGCTAGTGCTGAATTACGGAGGCTTTCCACCTGCACTGCTGTGTCTCACACACTGTTAGTAAAGAGCAAACAAGTTCTGATAACTCAACCGTCCTAAGAATGATCCATCCCCAACCCGCTTTTGTTGCTGGTGGCAGCATATAAAATGGAGACTGGTACCATATTGCTTAAATGTGCCCCCAACTTAGACAAACATTTACAGGGCACCAGGTGTTTCGAGCGGAGTATTTACCCTTTGCCAAGATGTCAGCAGCCTCTGAGTGCTCCTGTAAAACTTCACATTTCATCGGGGAGCGTAGTTAACACTCAGCTAAGAGTCCTCCTAGCTTCACGATAAAGGGCAAAGCTGGAGACAGTCATCCGACATTAACAGCCGGTGACTGTGACTCGACTTCCTTATCAATACCCGGGTATGCAACACCTTCAAAGAGGGGGGCCCAAGAGAGCTCGTTTGTGTGGCGCTGGGGAGATAGGGGCTATCCGGCTTGGCACAGGACAGCCAGGACTCCGAGGTTCTCAGCACAGGCGAGACTGTGGAGCAGGCCGAGGGGGGCCAGCCTTGCCCTGGCTCGTCTGCATCCCTCTCACCAGCCCCCAGTGCAGGAACCTTCGATCACACAGCCTGCTCCACCATCATCTGGCTTTTGCTTGGCACGGTGATCGCTTGCAAGTTAGGTCGGCCTGTGTGGTCCTCTCCGTCATCAGCGAGCAGCACGACTGCACACCCGTGTGGCCACTAACGGGGTTGCAAGCAGGGAACAATCCTGTGAGCCCCTGCTGAGATGCTCCGACAGGTGACAGAACATGCCTACGTCCGTTTTCTAGGTGAAACTGCAAATTCAAATAAAAGCAGTTCTCACAGGGAATGCTCAGATCCCAATGTGGACACACATCCAAGGGGCCCTGGGTCCGGTTTGAGGGCTGGAGCATCAAGGAGATCAGAAGACAGCTCGTTCATTGTAGGAAGCATAAAACATTCACAAACAAGTGGGAGGTGCGTGCAGCAGCACACAGGCCACACAGGCCCATCCTGGGAAACTACTGGCTGGGGCTGCGGCAGCCAGAGAGGTGACCTGGAGAGTGGGGGTGGGGGTGGGGGGTTTGAGCAGGGTTTTGGAGGCATTTTGGTGGCCCTGGGGGATAAGATGAACATCTGTTATGTGCTCACATGTCCTCGTTTGTAGCAGTGACCACTACAAATCTGTCCACCGCAGGCATCACTGTGCCCAGTTACCACATCGCCCACCAAGCAAGTCCTGAAACCACTAAGCCGCAGGCTCTTCACCCATCCTAGGGCAGTGACGGCCAGACCCAAAGCCATGTGCAGCGGAGTGGGCCCTGCACTACAAGACAGGCAGAGCCCGGGAGTCAGGCTGCAGGGCAGGCACGGACCATGCCAGGAGAAAGCAGGGGAAGCTGCCAGGGGCCTGGGTTTCACCAGGGGAGGCCCATGAGCGCAGGTAACCACGTGTAAAGCCCTCTGCGGGTTAAGGTGGGAGGTCCCTGCCGGATCCCAGGGTGTCCAGCGGGTGAGCCCTCAGCCCTTTCCCGTCCTTTTCATTTAAGCCTCACAAAGGCTCCCCTTGCAGGTGCTACTATCATCTCCATTTCCTTTTCTTTAATCTTCACCCGAGGATGGTTTTATTCATTTTAGAGAGAGAGGAAGGGAGAGAGAGAAAAACATCCATGTGAGAGAGAAACACCCATCGGTTGCCCCCAGTACGTGCCCCAAAGGGATCAAACCTGGCACCCTGGATGGGTGCCCTGACCAGGAATCAAAGCCTCCACTTTCCGGTGTACGGGGCGATGTTCCAACCAACTGAGCCACCTGGCCAGGGCCAGGGCCCTTGTTCCCAAGCACTGTGTTCATCTGGCATCAGACTCAGAGGTACAATTAGTGACAGGGAAGCAGGGTAGCCCTCAGAGCAACGAGGTTTTATCACTCAAGGGCAGAGCAGTTGTGGAGAGCTCTGCAAACGCAGACCCACGGGCCCTCAACGGTAACTTAGCAACCCGAGGCTTCCTGTGTAATTCACCCCACCTGGCCGGGCACAGAGACACCCCCAGAGGCAGGAGGGAGCCATGCCGTTCCCTCCCCCGAGGGAAGTCTGGGTACACACTGCTGTGTCCACTACCCCACCCGCCTTGGCTGTGCTGAGAGGGTTAAGCCACCAATTTAGAATGACAAAACCCCCCTCTTTAGAGTGAAAAGAACCCTTCGAAATGATCTGCTCCAACTCTTTACATAAAAGAGGTCTTGAGAGGCAGTGTGAGCTCTCACAGGCAGCCGAGATGAGAACTGCGGCGTGCTGAGTCCGGGGCTCCTCACATCCACGCCCACGACTGGCCCCGCTCCACCTCCTCACCCTCCCCAAGCAGCGAGCTGCCCAGAGAATGCAGTTCGAGACCCTTCCCAGCCCTGAAACAAGACCATTACTTCTCTTAACCAAGCTCTCCAGGTCTCCCCCGCTTTCACTTTGCTTCAGCTGCCTCTTCCTCACAGGGCACCTGCTAGACTCGCCGCGTGGGTGGGAGGGCCACACTCCTCCCGCCTCACAGCACCTCCCACCGGGACAGGAAACACCAGCAGCCGGGGCTGCAGGGTTCCACCTCTTCCCCAAGTGGTACGAGAACACCCGGTCCTAACACGGAAGGCTGCCCAGGCACACCTGTGCTTCAACAGCTGCAAAGACCAGGAGCCGCAGAGTTCAGGGCACCTGTTCTGGAGCTGAGATGCCAGGATGTGAGGTCCCGGCCTGTCGCTTAGCAGCGGCGTGACCCTAGAGTGTTCGGCAAACTCATTAGTCAGCAGAGCCAAATATCAACAGTACAACGATTGAAATTTCTTTTGCGAGCCAAATTTTTTAAACTTAAACTATATAGGTAGGTACATTGTTATTAACTTAATTAGGGTCCTCCTGAGGCTTAGGAAGAGCCACACTCAAGGGACCAAAGAGCCGCAGTTTGCCGACCACGGCCCTAGACCGTTTCCTCTTCTTCCTTCTGATATACAGAGGGCTGTACATAATTAATATCTACAGAGGGAGGAGTTTGGAGGGAAGTGCACACCCATGAAGCCATCAGCATAATCAATATGCCAGAAACCTATCCATCACCTCCAAAAGCTTCCTCCTGCCCTCTTATTATTACTGTTATTCTTTGTGATAAAACACCTATGATCTATCCTCTGAGAAAACGTTAAGCATATGATAATCTATAAGCGTTGCTACCTACCGGCCCCACGCTGCACAGCAGGCCTCGAGGACGCGGTCATTTGCGTAGCTGAGACACCGCAGCCTTGGACTAATGCCTTCCCGTTTCCCCTCCTCCAACCCCTGGCAACCACCATCCCGTTCTCTGCTTCTGAGTCTGACTGTTTTAGATTCATCATCTAAGTGGTGTAGTGTAGGACTTGTTCTTCCACGCAGAACAAATTGTGCCTCGGCCAGTCCTTGACCCCTGCAGGCCGCCATCCCCTGGTCTGAAAAAGACACAATTACACCTACTTCTCAGGGTGGTTTCATGAACTCAAAGAGACAACACAGGCAAAGCACACTGCCTGACAAGTGTCCTCATACGATTATTCTTGGCCACAGCTCCCATCCACTGGCTCTCACGCTTCGCACGTGTAACAGGAGCAAGGTTAAGTCCTTTACGTGAATCATCTCATTTATTCTTTCCTACAAACCTAAAACAGGCGTGAGCAATGTCATTTCACATCTGAGGAAGCACGCGCAGTCATTAAGGGGACTGCCCACGGTCCCGCAGCTATGAAGTGGTGGGGCTGGCATCTGAGCCCAGGTCTGGCTCCAAAGCTATGATGTAATTTGTAGGTTCCCCCTTTCACATTCATCACTTCACCCCGTGGCCCCACCGCATAACAAAGAAACAATTTCCGGAGGATGAGGCCCAGAGATCAGGAGTTTAAAAAGATTCCCAGGTGATTCTAATCTGCAGCCAAGGCTGAGAACCACTGGCTTAGAGCAGGGGTTGCCAACCAGAAGGCCGGCTGGAGAAAAGCGCAGCTGCTCGGACAGGACAGCCCACCACAGCGAGGCCAGCGGGGTGCCCGTGGCCACAGTGTGCGGGACTTTTATTCCCATGTGGCAGAGGCAGAGGCAGGCTCAGAGAGGGCAAGTGACCTGCTGACGGGCACACCGCTAATTGCATCAGGATCTGAACGGCCTGCACGTGCAACAGTAAACAGTTGGTGCCGGAAGCCTGTTCCGTGTTCTTAGCCACTAAGTCCTGCCAAGCTCACCGGGTAACCTTCCCCAGGCCCGGCTTGCTTCCCCCAGGAGGAGGCTTGGGGGTCGGTTGGCATAAACAGACCCTGGGTGCCCACCACCAAGTGCAGGGCTCTGGCCTGCGGACCTCGGCCCCTGGCAAAGCACTCCCATCCCCGGAGGCTACCCAGGCGCGGGCAGGCGGGCGCGATGGGCTCCTATCACCGACACACCGCAGGG